CTATTCCGCGTGGAAAGGTCATGTCATCGTGTGTCGATTACTTACAGAAATTGTGGAAAAAGTAGGCAGGTTTAGAGTTTTGGTATTCCTTAGTTCATTTATGAAAGGAACTGCGTTGCCGTGGCTATGATAGTTAGGTGCATTATTGTATGATCGATTTGTATTATTGTAAAATCGTATCATGTTGTATACTCTGTATATTTTAATGGGATTATTGTTTAGTTAGCAGGGGTACTTATTTGACCGCGGAACATACATAATTCGTTTTGCTTTAGTTTAGCTACAAGGTGCGACATTTGTTTCCTGTCTGTAGTAAAAATGCGATATTCTAAGTGCAACCAAAGTTCTGACGATTTCAATGCCGATGTTTTGTTTTTGCAAGTTTTTCGCTTATCATAGTTTGCCATTATATGTAAGCTACTATCTAAGTTGTCGAACGTTTTCCAGTTCGACGTTTACGTAGTCAGTAAGGAGCGGGATCGACTGGATTTTATTCTTAATCCCAGGATGTGTTTTTGGGTATTGGTTGGTGTTTCAGCACTCTTGAGCTTTTTGTGATTTATTTGGCAATAAATTCCTATATTTATGTGCACCGTCCTGGTTTTGTCGTTACCTTGGTGGCACATAATCGTGAATGATTGGCTGAAGACGTCTATTTTTCTGTTCGGTGGTTCGAAGGTTCTTTTCATGGAAAGTGAAAGCACACGTGCATTAATGTCAGTTTCAAGTCAGTTCAAACCTGCCAGCGCCGTGTCTCTGCCGCTGCGTCTTGAGATTCAGTTGTTTTGGGTACGAAATGAAGCGTAGTTTTGCCGGGCCGAATGCGGTTCGGAGCAGCGGGTCGTGCGGCACAGCATGACTCCAGGCGCTGACCACTAGCGCCATCTATGGATGGGGAAATAACCATACACCGCAAGGCGCTCAATAGAGATGCTCGCGACGATGCCTTCGATGGGGCGGACTTCAGCTAATGAGCGTGTGCTGGTCTAAGATGATGACTTTGCTTTCGACACATGGTACAGTAGGTCTATTAAAAAAGTCCCCAGCACCAGTGGGCGCTGCCTCCGCTGAGCCGAACCCCCGTCTGCCTGTCCCGTATCGCGCCGGTATCAGGTCAGGTAGGGTCAGCGGGACCGCTCGGTCCGGCCCGCGGGCGGTGGACGGGCGGCCGGTAACGCTTTCCGCTAGCCAGCTGTAGAATCCAACAAACGGGACGGCCACCGCTCAGCGGAGCGAAACCGGTGTTGAAGAATGGCAGTAGATGTTCATGGCCACAATGATTATGAGAAAGACATTGTTAGCCCGTGCCCCACAGGAATGCCTAGACTCTCACGCCCTGTTGGAGGGAAAATGGGGATTGAGCATCATTCTTATTATTCAGCTTTGGGCATTTAAGTGGCATTCGAAGTAGCGTCAAAAGTAGCAAAAAGAAGAAATATACTTCAGCCAATTTTAGATCGGGTCAGAGCCAGAGGTCATGTCACCAGAGGTCATCGGTGGTAAAATTTTGCTTGGACAGGGTGCGTTGCGCGCACCGGTGCATTGGGTTTCTAGTTTCCATGGAAACATCAACAGACTCGGAAGCTCGCAAAGCTAGCGTGGAGCCGAATTCATATCAACCCCCGCAACAATGCAGCAGCGCAAGCGTGCTGCAACGCGGGGCCGTGAAACACCGCCCAGGGCTATCCATGTGTCAGGGCAATCCAACCCACGTGATGGGCTCGGCCCCAGCGGAGCATGAGGTCCAGGACTCCCGCCCAGGCCCCCTGTCTCCCCTAATTCCTGTCATCCTTCCCACTCTGAAATCGACCGAGCCTAACCTAACACAACAATGAGCTCGTTTACCCGTTACCGCTATGTCTGAATAATATTGTCAGATTTAATAAAGGTGAACGGCTTAGCACGTAAATAACACTAACAGCAACTGCCACCATCGATATTATGAGAAAACCAATTGCTTTTCCACAAACACTTAAAAGTTTTTAGCTTAAAACTTGCTTGAAATTAATTTTACCAGCCTCGTGTTCCTCTTATAAAAAAAAACGCGTCGAATGAATCAAAAGTTGATCTTTAAAGGTCATTTGAAAAATTTGGCCTATGTTCAAAGACATGACCTGACCAGAAATGGTCATGATGCATAGCAGGATATTAGATTCGTATCGTGGAACTTTACAAACACTTCAGATGATTTCATAACTTAAGCATGTCTATCAAAAATAATTATGACATGGCTCATATGTAAGCTGGGTGTGTGATCATGCTTACGAGTATGTTGAACGCAACTGATAATGTTCTGTTGGCCACAATTTCTATATTTAATTTATTCTCCCGGATTTCATATTTTTATTAATGACAACTTGACGATGTCGAGAAAAAAACGCTTAGGAGATTTAACAGGCTGAGATACATTCAGTATAAGGAAGGGTCAAGGGTGCTAGATCCCTTCCGTCCTCGCTATCCTCAGGAAAAACAATCCGCATCGCCCCTAGTCTTCATGCTTCCCTCTCTGGACTGGAGGTCACCCCACCACTTGTTTGACGTCGGATCCATTCCAGGACACATAATCCTCTTCGGGTGACCGTTTGGGAGACGGCTGGACCGTCCCGACAGGGAAATCGTCCCACGGGAACAGTCTCGCTTCCGCAGATCACTGTCGCTGGCTCGCACAACCCAATTACTACACCAGAGCATAGTTATGTCATAGCTCTGCAAGGGCCTTTTCAGACCGAAAAAGATGGCTCCCAACAAAACAAACAATTTTCTCATTTAGTATTGTATCTCATTAAGCACCACATGTTTTCAGAGTGTTTATTATGCGTTCCGTCCAAAAAAGCGCAGTTCAATTTTCTCCCATTGACTTGAGCGATCTCAAAATTGGCCCGGCCTTTCTGTCAACAATGTCAAACTTGCAAAGTAAACGTTTCAAATACATGTAGTGTTGCCCATTGAAATCGCTGAAGTTCTAAAGCGATCGGTTAGTCGGTGTATTTAGATATGATGAGCACAGGAACTTTCCTTGAGGTAAGGTCACTTGACGTGACCTGGTGTTATGACCTTGAATTGAAAAACTTGGGCGGGAAAAATGGGTCATTTGAAATCTGAAAATGCTATATTTCAACAATAATTGCAAACACTATCCCGGCCAAATAGTGAGTGAGAATGGAGCGATCCGATCCCCCAACCCCATGTTTAGCTCCTATAATTGAGCTAGCTGCTAGAGCATCGCGGAAAAAAACGAGCGCTTGCTTCGTTACGTGACGCAGCTACCATGGTACCCCATTTTGAAATATCAATGACCTCTTAGGGCAGGTCAAGTGCCCCAAGGCATTCGATCGGTTTTTGGTAAATAACTTCGCAAAAATGGTCGCATTATCGTCATTTTGATACAATCGTGTTTTCAGTTCTCAGACGCGTCGATTTATATGCTTTTTTGTTTAGGTGAGCAATTTAGAACGTTTACCTGGGGTCAATGTCATGTTAGGGCAACACAGGTCACGAAGCTGTTGAAAGGAGGACATGTTGCATAACATTTGATTCGGCAAGTCTTGCAAAGTCCAATGATGGCTGTCCCGACTGGCTAGCTCATTTTGATCGGGAGTTATTGACGAAGCACTCCTATCACCCTAAGACGTCATAAATGACGTCACGGAAGGTGAACAATGCAAAAGTGAAACATTAGACCTTGCCAAGAATGTATGAAGTCACGATTTGAAGTGCTTGAGGTATAATTATAGATCATTTCCGACGCCAAATTAACAGTTTCCATATTTCTCCATTATGATTGACACAAGTGCATTGCGGATTTGCATCACTTTATAACCGACAACCGTGCAGAGGTTTACTTAAGACGCCATGGTTAAGTGACCTGACCTGAAAACGTGGTTGATGTCAAATGATCCGGCTTGAATCAAATGCAAGGCATATGAAATGTCAGCCTTCTATCATCAGTGTGCTTTGAGCTACCGCAAAAAAAAATACATGGTGGCGGCATTCACCCCTTCTTCTCGGCCGGCGAGGGTTAAACCTCGCTTCGAATTATTGCAGATGATGCGACCGAAAACAAAGCATTTATCTGTGTCTAGAACGGCCGCTGACTTGTTGGACAAGATCCCCAATCTTGATTTGCTAGATGGGAATAAAATGCTCGGTATGCGATACATATATAATTATATACCCCTCGATTTGCCCTCGCGCTAAGTCTATTCTAATCATCACTGTCGCTTTTTATCCGAGGTGATGTTGCCGATAAACGGGTTGTTTTGTTTGCTTGCGTTGAATGGTCATTACGGGTTATTGAAGGATTATGATAAATAGGAATGGGGCAAGGGAGGATATGCACTGCGTCTGCGGGTGTTTAATTTAGATCACAAAGGCATCATTTTCGGCATAGTGCAGAGTCACTATCTTCCCCTCCTCTGCACTGCGGCATCTCTGCGCCCCACACACGGCGTCCTCACTCCACGGCCGGCCGCCGCCAACTGACCCACTCGCCGGGCGCCGCGACCTGACCCGTGTCGCTGCCGCGGCCTGCGCGGTAGAGTCGGGGCTGGAATCCGGGGGTTCGGCCGGCCGGCCGCCTCTGGAGCGGGGGACTTTTTTTGTAGACCTACTGTACAAGCTGCTGGGGCTTCAAGAATGAGCGACAGTCACAAGAGCAGAGGGATAGGCTGCAATTATCAGGGCCTGGCAATTGATAATGCTTGGTTACATATAGTCGGAGCAAACTGTCAGTCCCCATAAAGCTAGTCAGTATTTACTTTATGTACCTCCCTAGCTATAGATTTCTAACGCCAGCAGGGATTTAACGCGGGCTGGTTTCGACAGGTACCGGTTCCGTGTGCCCAGTGTCCGGGTGCGGCAAGTTTCTGGCCAACAGCGCCCGGCGGAGCGAGCACCTGTCCTGGCACCGCGGCGAGACCGTCTGTGCCGTCTGTGGTAATTGCTACACCACCAAGAGCAACCTGCGCGAACATGTCATTGTACACCACGGCGGTGCTGCAATGGTGGACCACAGGGGCCGGCCAGTGATCCAGCCGCCGCCGCCGCCCCCGCCGCCGCCCCCGCCCGCGGCAGGCCGGTTCTACAGGCAGAAGAGGGGGAGGAGGCTGGGACAGGGGACAGAGACGGGTACATACCAGGAGTAGCTGGTGTGTTTGTGTGTGCCTAGACGAACTACTTTCTTGTTCTCGTTCTTATTCCTTTTCGCTCTGTTTTGACTCTCCTGGATCTTTTTCCGTTTTGATGCGCTGTGGTTCCTTCTAATTTAGATTTAGAGATACAGTTAGGAGGTACTTAATTGTTGCCTTTCCATGGTACCTATTTTGCGGTTTTTATTGTTCATGCTGTTGTTCAGTCACCTTACCCCACGGATTCTCAAATTGGCCACCGTTCATTTATCGTCGCTCGGTGCAGCGAAGAGAGATTAAAACCACAGGATAAGGTGTCGAGACTTGTGCACTAATGACCCGCTATCGCGAACTGAAACGCTATGGCTCAGATGCTTTTCGCATGTCGTTGTTTATTCAATTGCATTGTATAGGTGCTTTCCGTTTTTTTTTTTTTGTCCAATCAGAAAAGAAGTGTTATATTTCAGTTTATCACTTCAAGCGTATGTGCTTTGCCATTTTAGGTTGCGTGTAAGTAAACTGCTGCATTTATACTACGACTGGCATCGTCAATAAACATTACTGAAATATCTCGCATTTTTACGAGTTTGGTTGCCGGGAAAGGTAGCGAAGGACAACTCGGATTTCGAATAAATACGAAGCGACGTTGGATGCCTTGGGACGGAAGCTGGTGACTGTGCAGCTAATCAATTGTCCATAATCCACCTGCAGACATATTATATCGTAGTTATGTACTTCCGTAGGACGTAGGTAGCATGGAACTTCTATGCAAAAGGTCATTTCAATTCAACACCCCATTCAAAGCGGATTTTTAAACGAGAAGGCGAAGAGGATTTAAAATACAATATCATCGTTACCTAACGGTCGAAAAGTATTAAAGACCTGACTTAACCCCAATGCAGTTTTGGTGCCCGATAACCCATATACCGTCACCTAATCGCCGACTGGCGCCTCTCTATAACCGCCTCCTGCCGGTCGCTGCTTGTGAAACGGACACTGCCGTTTCGGTCACTGACCGTGACTGACTGGCGCCTGACACTGGTGCCTGCCGTTTCGGTCGCTGACTGTGACTGACTGGCGCCTGACATTGGTGTCTGCCGTTACGGTCGCTGACTGTGACTGACTGGCGCCTGACACTGGTGTCTGCCGTTTCAGTCACGGACTGACTGACTGCGACTGACATTGGTGTCTGCCGTTACGGTCGCTGACTGTGACTGACTGGCGCCTGACACTGGTGTCTGCCGTTTCAGTCACGGACTGACTGACCCTGGCGCCTGACACTGGTGTCTGCCGGTTCGGTCGCTGACCGTGACTGACCCAGGCGCCCGCCATTTCAGGCCTGCCGTCGATCTGTCCCGTGGTCGGCTGCGGACGCTCCATCCCAAACAGGAAGCGGTACAGCGAGCACATGGCCTGGCACCGCGGCGAGACGGTCTGCAGTCTGTGCGGCCGGCGCTTCTCCTCCAAATCCAACCTGCGCATCCACCAGAGCACCCTGCACGGCCTCCACAGCGCGACCGTGCGCCAAAAGACCCCGCAGCACCTAGCTGTTTTTTTACAGGATAGCACGGGAGAGGGCAGCGGCGGGCGCGGCGGCTGGCCCGACTCCTCAGGTCACGGCGGGCAGCCGCAGTGATGACGTCATGGAAGGCAAATGTAGGTTGATGACGTCATAGTGGGTAGTTATCGGATGTGAGGATGCATGGATAGGGATGATGTGCTTCCTGTGAGGTTTGTTACACGAAAAGGTCGTTATGGGGACTCTGGAAAATGATGAGTTGACGATTTGTGGCTACTCGAGCGTGCCATCTCGGTGTTGTTTAGACGAAAGATGTCTTCTTTAATTTAACCTCCGCTAACCTCGGTTTCAGCGTACTATTTTGTGTTTGAGAACAGAAATAAACGTCCTTAGTTGTGTACGTGTTTTGTACTTAATAGTTGTTGGCGTTATAGTTCGCGATTTTTCCCGACGAAGTGATTTTTTCGTGAACAGTGCAGGGATGAATTGAAGCATATTTCAGGAGCTTGTGTGTGTGTGTGTTTTAACCACTTTTTTACAAGAAGTTGAGCATCTGCTTATCTTTTATTTACACTGCAAGTCTGCGAGACAATAAACTACAAAAAAATAATTCGTGTTTGTGATAATGCATTATATATCGGCCATCACATTTAATGGGAATATGCCACTTTCCTTCAATTGTTTCTTTTTTTGTTACAGTTTCATGAACTTGTATGCTCAAAATGATCAGGGGAGAAAATAGGTAATTGATGTTTACAATAGGATTTTTAAAAACTATTATATAGAAAGAACTATTTAGTATATTCTATATAAAATAATGTTTAACGGGGAAGCTTATTACGCGTTGACCAATCATGTTGCGTAGTTCAAACCAGCTGCATGCTGATTGGCTGATGATGACGTGGCTGCATTCTTCTACAAAGGACACATTCCTCTACAAAGCACTCTTTTCGGAACGAGAAATGGAATAGCTTTGCCTAGGGTGATTGCTGGGGCGTAACAACTCCTTGATTTGTGCTAGTCCCAGCTCAAGCTGCAAAACTGCTATTCCAGTTCAAACCCCCATGTTAAAAGTTATCTACGATTTCCTTTAAAGATATTATCCGATTGTGGGCACAGTACAAGTCTGAAAACTGCACATTGCAGCTTTGAGCTGAAGGAGCATTGTATTTATCCCTTTTATCCTATACCCCGCGTTTTGAAGACACCTTGGTTACCTCGCTTCCATGGCACAGTGCTGTGCTCACTGGTAGTGTGTAGACTGTGTACCCTATAGTGTGACAGCTCTCAGCACACAGCCACACAGTACTGCTCTAGAATACCGGCGCGACCGCCGGCCCGACTGACACCCGACACCCCGTCTATTCCAGGATTTCGCTGCCATGAAGCGGGCTGTGGTCGCACGTTCGCAAACCGTCAGCGACTCGGCGAACATCTGTCCTGGCACCGCGGCGAAACGACCTGTTTCGTCTGCGAGAGAAAGTACGTCAACAAAACCAACCTGCGCATCCACCAGAGCCGGTACCATGTCGTCCCGGCAGCTCCGGCGCGACGTGGCAGGCGCGGCGCGAGGCAGGGTCGGGTGACGCCGGACAGCTCTGATGATGACGTCATTTAGGCCAGAAACAGGGTAATGAGTCATGAGGAAGGCGTTAGTAGTGATGGCTTCCTATGGACGGTGGTTTGGTGATGGTGTGAAGTGGAGAAGTGCGATGTATACATACTCTGAGAGGTTTCCTGAAGAACGCTCGAGTTATAGGATGGTGTGCGATGGTGCTGGATATGCGTACGTGTCACAAAACTGTGTACTACACACGCGGCAGGCGGCTTTGCACATTGTGCAAACGTTGTAGGTACCACGCAGCATCGTGTGCTTGTCAAACTTGCACTTGCGTCACTTCGCTTGTTGCAAGAGAAGCAAATGGTTTAAGTTTAGCGTATTGTTCGCGACATAGCAGTGTGTCGTCGTCGCAGCTCGAATAGTTTGTAAAAGCCTTTGTCTTTTTTGGCCTCGGAATGATTTTGCTTTCTTTTGTAGCTCTTGAGGAGCGTAGTGTACATTTTCTCAGGTCCCCTATTTGGATCAGGCCTTTATTTTGTTTATTGTATTCTGTTGTAGCCCCTATTTGTGCCATTTCGATGCCGCGGGATTCGGTTAAGTTAATGGGATGAGGTGGACTCAGGTTCAAACGCCGACCGTTGCGCTGCCAGAGCTGAGCCCATACTGTGAGCCGATGGTCTATTGGTCTATCCAGCTACTCCGCTGGAGCTACCGTTAGCATAGGTGGACAAATCGCAACAGGAAGTGTGAACAAATTATGAGAATAGGTTGGACGGATTGGTACTGAGGATGGGAAAATGTAGGTTTGACGTGTAGCATGTAACTACTAGCTGTATTGCGTGGCATGTAAATAAATTTGCGATGGTCCCATCTCAAATGGACATGTTTGATCGGCTCAATAAATAAAGAGTAAAAAGACGATTGTCATTTTCTTCGTTCATTTCGCTCCATTGTGGCGCGGTCTGTGCAGACTCTGGGGACTGGATTCCGAGGAAATGATGATAATGATGGACAATGTTTGTACTTTAACCCGCGCCCCGCTGGGGGGGCAGAATCTGCCCCCTCCCGTTTTTCGCCAACGACTTCTAAACGCGTTACGCCAGCGACGTCAAACTTTCAGTACCTTATTATACATCAATTTGACACGTTCCCTGAAAATTTGAGCGGAAAACTTTTGAGAAATTGACGTTTTAGTGACGTCATGTTCGCCATTTTCGCCTCAAAAACGGCAAAATTCCAAACGCCGCGGGAGCTATTCAAAATTTTATGACGTCACGACACACACAAAATTTGAAAAATGATTTTTTTGGAAGTCCTAGACCTCGTACGGAAACAAAAATAGCACCAATCGATTTGCCGTGAAAACTGCATCAGATAGACACCTTTTTAGGCCTCAACAACCAACTTCAAAATTTGACCTCACTTGACCTGACCTTGAGCTGACCTCGACCTGAAATTCATCGATAGGTGGTCCATATCACTTATTGAGTGTGCCTATTGAATTCTATGAGTAAAATGACCCATAAAACATGTGTCGCACATGCTCTTTTCTATAGGGGAAGGTGGGGTAAGACGGACCAGCTAAGGTTTGAGGCCGCATATCTTGCTACACTGCTCTCGTAATTCATATTATTTATAGTCTTCGGAATGCTCAATCCTTCCTCTGTTGATATGTGTAAAGACTAAATTTCAACTTAAAGACATCTAGGTGGTGGATGCTCTTAAAGAGGGACATGTCAAAAACTCAGACAAGAAAAAACGTGGGGTAAGACGGACCACCCAGCAGTGCCTGCTATCTGTTCATGTGTGTTACACTTCTGCTCTGTACTCTTGTAAGAAAAAGTAACCAGAATGGTAAAATAGCAAAATGAGCCTTTATTCTTTACTCATGTGTGATGGAAGTGCAGCTAAAAGCTGGGAACATGTGTGTTGATTGTCGTTTGGCATGAATGCATGCTAACTGAGCACTTGCATGCATGGCGGCTCACATGCAACAAAGACTCCTTCCTGAAAAATTAGCTTACTTAAACTTGTGTCAATGTTTTGGAAAAGAACTTTCCATATGCAGGGTAGAATGGACCACCACAGGGTAAGATGGACCACAGTGGTCCGTCTTGCCCCAAATCTAAATTCTGTCATTATCATGACGTATATGTTAAATAGCCCAACATTGCAAAACCTTGCCTTTCCTAAAGTGTGACTATAACTAAGTTTATAACTTTGTTCTTCACAGTTAAGTGCAAAATAGAAACTAATTATGCAAGAAAGGCGCCGTAATTGAATCACCCGTAGACCTCTTATATTAGATCGGTTTGACGAAAAACAACATTTTTCTCAATAACTCAAAAGCTATGCATCCTAGCAGCATGAGCTCAAGGTGGCCATTGTTACGAAGGAAAACAAACATAGTGAGTGCATAAAGCAGTAGATACCAGCAGCGGTTCAGCCGGGAGGGCTGGTGGTCCGTCTTGCCCCGCTGGGCCGTCTTACCCCACCTTCCCCTATTTTGTTTTTGGTGACCTGACCTGACCTGACCTTGACCTTTGAATGACATTGTATGCAACGAATATTGTCTTGGTAGTCTAAGAACACGTTTTGGGCAATCAGTCTGAGTCCATTCTTTGGCAACTACGGTGCAAGGCCGATACTGTAGAAGCTTGCATTTTGTACCCTTGACCTGACCTTGACCTGACCTCTGACCTACTTAAGCAGAAAAATTGGGCTCTTAACCCTCGCCGGCACAGGGGGTTGATGCCACCCCCCCCCCTAAGGTTTTTCGCGAATAACTCGCGTAAAAAGCGGCCGATCGCGACGAAACTTTCAGTACCTTCGCATTGATCAATTTTACACCTACCCTGAAAATTTCATGACCCTGACCCAAATGACCCTTGACCTGTGACCTCTTTTCCGAGACCATGTTTGGCCGAAATCGCGATTCGGCGTATGTCGGCTCGCATTAGCCGCGCGTTTGCAAACTTTTCGTGGTTTCAAACGTTCAAACATGTGATTTGATGTTGCTCCCATGCATTATGGTGGGTGTCAAGGTCACCTGAAGGTCAGGTCAGGTCATTGACCTTTGGTGACCTCGGGTGATCTCGGTTAACTTTTTCGAGTTTTACATGTTTCTAGGCTAGTTTTTCGAGCTGAATTCGAATTTAGCATTAATTTGATCATTTACGAAGTAGTTTTGGTGCCTTAGTAACATGTTACGAAGCTGTCAGAGGCGGTTGACACGTATTACGAATACCCGTCACAACCCCTACCGGTTGACCTGACCTGACCTGACCCGACCTGGTCTAAATGCTTAAAGACATCATCTCTGATCAAAACTAACACGATATTCGTGATCAGCACCCCGGAAAACCACATAGCAGCCACGCTTTACGACTTTCTAACAGGTCCCGATTTTCCCGGTTTTTGGGTCATTGACCTGACCTGGAAGGTCACCCGGTGACCTAGGACCTTAAAATTGGGTATCATCGGCTTCCTCTCGTGACGGGCAGCACGATCGTTTTTTTCCGCGAAGCTCTAGCTCGATCAGGGGCCAAACGGGAGGGGGGGTCGTACCAACCCCCCCCCCCCCCTTGTGCCGTCGAAGGACGCAAAATGGCCTGTGCCGGCGAGGGTTAAGATCTGCCTTGGTGAGAGCTTTTGATTGCCGTTTTCCCCGTCTTTCTACGACCATCGGTTCGAAAGTTAGACGGGGGGGGGGCAGAATCTGCCCCCCCCCCCCAGCAGGGCGCGTATGACTGAATAGCCCAGCGGGGCGCGAGTTAACAGACATGATGCAGACAGTTCGGCTCTGCAGAATGATTCGATCTGTGGTTTCGCGCCTTTCACGTTCAGCCTCTGTCTAAAATGTAAATTACGCCACGCAAACATTTCGTTTGGACGGCGAGCATTGCGGGACAGCATATCTTCAGGCGTCGACTACTACTGCCATCTAGCGATAGGGTTGTAAGCTTACCCACAAACGTAGACATCGGGAACTGCTTGCCCGAGTCTCGCACCCGTAATGATATGGGTAGTACATCGCAAGTAAACGTTCTGAATTTAAGTAGAAATGACAGACAACTCAAGGGCAGCTACATTTAGGCTCATGCGGCAATGATTTATAGGTACGCCATTCGAACTGAACAAGCGCAAAGGTGTAATAACAATCGTAGTATTTATAATACCGAAATTGTATTTGTATCTTTGAGCACTTTCGACGCATTCTATCCGACCTCGCATTTCGATGACACCTAAATACAAGGGGCACCTCCAGTAAGCAGCGACCGTGTTCGCCGCAGACCCCGTGCTCTTATCAGTTTTGTGGTGTGACTGATGAAGTGGTGACCCGACTTTTTGGTACAGTATACGTGTAAGCTGGAGTCCGACTGACTGTCCTGTCTGTTCCAGCCATGCGTCTGTGTCCGATAGCCGGCTGTGGCCGCGTCTTCCGGAACCGACAGCGGCGCAACGAGCACCTCTCCTGGCACCGCGGCGAGACCGTCTGCCAGATCTGCAACAGATACTTCTCGACCCGCTCCACTTTGCGCACGCACTTGCACAGCGTGCACAACGTGCCTCGCGGGGCTCTGGCCGCGAGTGGACAGGCAGTGGCCTCTGTCAGACACAGAGAGGAGCAGCTGTGGTGAATTAGGATAGGAAGAGTTGGTGTCAATTACTCTGATCAGTCAGTCTCTGTGATCGTTAAGCGGGGGCTGGGGTGGCCTATTGCTCCCAGAAGTCACCTCAAGCGGTAGTGAGGTTAACGTAAGAGTTGGGACAGTGTTTGGCTCTCTATTGAAGACCAATGGCGAGGTTCGTCCGCTTGAATTGTGACCATTAATCGCGATGTGAAGATCTGTGTTTCGCATAAATGGGTGGAGCGATATTTTGTTTAATTTAGTTTTCATGTGTCATTTTAACCAAGCTCCTCGTAATATGCAGAGTCTGAAAAACGTGGTTTTGTAAATGTTGAAAGCACTAGTTGTATCAAAGCTGAACATTTCTTTCATTGATCATTGGTGATCGGCTGTCGTCCTTCGTGATGCAAATAAATTATCTCCGAAGTCTCTCTCGATGCATTCGCAACGTAGTGGTGAGCCAGCACAGCTATCGGTTGTTCTCGTTATTGCGTTGCTGAGGAAATGCTAGTAAACTAATCGAGTATGAGGAGGAGTAGCGTGCCACTAGAGCAATTAAGTTATAACAGCCAACCAATGTAATCGCACGCAGACATCCCTCAGAACACACCTTCCCTTAGCTTCTCCCGGCACACGACCCCGCCCCTCCCCCCCCCCGCTGTCTATCGGCTCGTACACACCATCTGACCGTCCCCCCCCCCCTGTTCTCCGACAGGTCTGACTCGGCTGCTGTCGGGCGGCTCGGCCGGCCGGCCGGAAGCTCCGTTCGCCTGTCGGCTCTGTGACAAGGTGTTCCGCGACGCGTCCAACCTGTCCCACCACACGGCCGTGCACCGCGGAGAGACCACATGTCGACGGTGCTTCGCCGTGCTCGCCACCAAACGCAACCTGCGGGCTCACCTGGCCAACTGTCTGGGGCCCAATCTGACGCCGCGCAGGAACTCAGCGAGGGCAGCCGAGGTCAGGGGCTCGGCGCCGGCGCCGCACGGACCGCGACCGCTCAGCTCCGAGCGCAGGGCGCACTGGGAGGGTCCGTCCGGAGCGGCGCAGGGGGCGCCACCGGCGGGGGAAACCGAGCCGACCCTCTGGTTCCAGTAGCGAGTCCTCGCTGGGTCGATCTCATGGCTCCGGCACTCGAGTTCAGGCAGCGTGCTTCCGAAAACGGTATTTTAATTCGTGACGCAGCTCGCAGTGCTGTCCAAATTGGTAGGTTTCACTTTCTACCTTTGCAATATTGCTGAATCTCTCGACTCCCGTAATTTGTTCGCACGACCTCATCGCTAAACCTGCGGTGTTACATCTAGTTCACGCTGTATTCGCAGGTTTACATCCACAACATGTGTACATGAGAATCAGTCGTTATATAGTTCGGATTCACTCAACTTCACGCATACATCACACTGTTCATAAGCGCAACGTCAAGGCCTTGTGTCATGGCGTAACCGAAATAGGCGGCCGGATGCTCTCACGCGAAGTTCGTTCCGCATGTGTTGCCCACCGTTTGTAAGATATTCATTGGCGGTGTGCTACAACATATAGAGTTTGTCCTTACCAAGTGCTTACTATACTAAATCATTTCTTTACTAGCACTGAATGACAGGGTTCGAATTGCATGGCAAGCTGGTCACAATAAACGGTGGTGTATACTTACGCTTATGAGTTGTGCTTTGAAGCACGTTGAACAAAGATGAAACACTGATCACATGCATCTAAACGCTAACATCTACCAGATTAGGACAGGTTATTGAACATACATACGTCGGTTCAGTGCTTGACGGTACCACTGAATTATCTCAGAATAATACCGGCAAACATGTATTTTTTAGCATTTAAAATGCACTTGTCGGATTTCATAAAACCCTGCCAGTTGCCGTTTGACTGGACTGTAAGCCTAGCACCAGTAGCACGGTCACTACATCGAAACCAACCGCTGGTTTTCGGACACACATCGACACTAATAAATACTGGTGTTCTACACACCGACACCGGCAAGAACCGACACCAATAACCGACACCCATCACCACTGGTGGTTAGATATCATCCACCGACACCGACACCATCGCACTGGTGACCTCTTATCACTAGCATTCACGCGGAGCTTAGCTTTGGTCCTTGAACGCGACGTCCCGCTGCCGATCATCGCCCACAGCTACATCCACTTCGATCGAGATCCTACCTGCGTTGGCGGTGGCGTCGCCCTAGCGGCGGGACGGCAGCACCACCTGGTGGCGGGTGCGCATGTGGCGGCGCATGTGGTCGATCCGGCTGAAGACGCGGCCGCATACGTGGCAAATGGTCTCACCGCGGTGCCAGGCGCGGTGCTCGCTCAGTCGCGGTGCGCTGGGGAACGCGAGTCCGCACTGATCACACCTCAGCAGGTGGCTGGAATCTGCCGACAGGTGGCGAGCGTTAACGGTCGCAGATCGGTGAGTGCACAGTGGGACCGGTAACTCGACTGCCAGGTAGGGAGACGAGACATTACAGATATAGGAATTGCGTGATCACTGATCAGGTTAGTTGCAGCAACGGCTAAATGGCTAGTTATTGAGGTGTCAGCCGATCAGCAATGTTAGGGATATAGCCTGGCGGTTAGCTCGAATGTGATAAAAATGCACACTTCTTGACGCGTCTTCGTGGAGCGCCTTGGAAACGATCCATAAACAAATTTAATTTCTATCAATGTATTTTCCAGTCTCCAGAACAAACGTTGAACACAGCGTCCGTAAGCCACTCGTATCACTCAGTGCAGTTTTATTGACTGTGAATCGTGATACATTGAATTGACGTTTGATTATCTATCGTATGGCACCAATCATGTGAACCTACCGAGCAAAGATGCCATGCCTCCAGAAAACACTGTCCACTCATTATAGACGAAGCTCATAAGTAGTTATATCCCCTCCTGTTAAAATCACGCTATTGCCTCTTGGCTGTCACACAGCTTATCTGAAGACTGTAACCCCTATAACGCTAGTCCCCAAATCCCAAAACACCGTCCGCGCAAACCCATCCCACCGGCCGCGGTCCCTTATCACCAACACCAGCACCAGTGCACCACCAGCGCACCATCAGTCACCACTATCACCATTTCAGAGCACCACTGTCACCATTGCTAACCCCTCCCGTACTCCCGTCACCACCAGCCGCGTCTGCCGTCCGCGCCGACTCCAGCCTTCACCAGTCGGTGGGGGCGCTGCCCGTCCACGGGGCGTCTCTGCGGCTCTGGTGGACTCCCGGTGTCTGTGGGTCCACTGCCGCAGCGCTCGGAGTCGCCAGCAGCGCGGCGGCTCTCGGCCGCCGAGATGGCATGGTCACACCGTGCGCCGTGCGCAGGTGGTTCCTGAGGATGTCCGTGCGCGCGAACACGCGCTGACATACGTGGCAGATGGTTTCGCCGCGGTGCCAGGCGCGGTGGTGCGACAGCTTGGACTGGGTGCGGAAGGTCTCGCCGCACAGCTGGCACGGGTAGCCACCGCCACCTGGGGACACAGCGGCAGCCGGCGGCTCAGGACCACTGCAGACAGCAGCCGAGGCGGGGGTGATATACGTCACTGGAGACGGTATAGGCACGCAGCTGACATTGGAAGGAATAGTGGTCACTGGTCATTGCTGATACCTATAGCTGAGGAAAGCAGATGACTTTTGAGCGGCTTGGGAAGTTTAAGCTACTTCAGAGGAGTGATTTATGTAGCAGCGGATGCCAATCATCCGTGAGCCAGTAGGAGAGGACACATGACACGGCGAGTGACATTGAGGACTTTCTGGGGAGTGAGGACCAGACCAGTTAACTTTTCATTCGATAATTATTCAGAAATTCGGTAATATCATTGGTAGGTACTCGAGCTCGACAGCACCTGATTCATGTAAAAAGTGAATGCGACAGCATTTAGGTATACCTATGCTTGCACTGTTCACTATGTCGTTTAAAGGAGTTACTAATCGCTCATGAAGGCATACCTAGACTTTGACAAAATGCTTAAAAGCGCATCGTAAAATAACTTGTTTACCGGCGACACACCATTGCCAATTATTTCATGAAGACTAGAATACGTTTTCTATCATTGACTAAACTCAGTCGATCCCTGAGCCATTGCAAATGCTCACCATTCTTTCCCTTTTTTGCAGGGATGCGGAGCCGGAGCCGGAGTCGGAGCCGGAGCCGCCGGAGCCGGCATATTTTGCCCGGAGCCGGAGCCGGAGCCGGAGCCGTGAAACAATATAGACCGGAGCCGGAGCCGGAGCCGGAGCCGCCAAAAAAGGGGGCGACTCCGGCTCCTTTTTATTTTTTGAAGAGGAAAAAAAATAATTGACCTAGTTCGGTTTGACAGTACAAGGCAGTGAAACATATGGTATGTACTTACGTCATGTGCCATCAAGTGAATGAAAAAAGCCGAATATCCCCAGTATCCCACAGTACGCAATCAACTTCCTGTCTGCTCCTCCCCCCCCCCCCCCACGTCTACTGCATCCCCAGAACATGAGGACCGGTCATCAGGTGACGGCCATTGTTTTCAAGCCAGTGCAGTGGACTGCGACTCCCAGCACCGTCCGTGCCGAGACGGGTGTCAGCTTACGATGGTTCAGTGAACTCCGATTCGCGGCGACTGCGTTTCCAATGCCATCGCTTCCTAGTCCCTTGTTGTGCCAGTTCTCTCCGAGGTGCGTTTGCGCGGGGACGCGGTCATGAGCCGGTCATGGCAAAGAGTAACGCGTATAACCAATCCATTTTTTCTTCCATCCGTATTTAATTGATTGCATAGGGGATGTACTGAGTCGGAGCCGGAGCCGCCGGAGCCGGAGCCGCCGGAGCCGCCGGAGCCGGACCATTTTACTCGGAGCCGGAGCCGGAGCCGGAGCCGCCATAACATTTCACCCGGAGCCGGAGCCGGAGCCGGAGCCGATTTTTTTCTCCGGAGCCGGAGCCGGAGCCGGAGCCGTCTGAAATTTCCACGGCTCCGCATCCCTGCTTTTTTGTTTTGCGGGCTCTCCACTTCTGAGGATGGTCGTTGTCGTGCATACGGAAACAGCAAACAAGAGCTCTATTTCGCTATCTAATCGGTCAATTTATCGCGTCAGTATCTACAAACCATTACAAACGCAGTTTTGTACGGACACGTAACGTTCCCGAGAGCGGGGCTCACGCCTTTACTGCTTTACATTGATTTAAAATACATTTTTGAACAATTGTTTTATTTAACAACTAAGTTTCAATACATTCCAACAACATTATCACACACAAAAAAAAAACTCGAGGCCTCCATTAAACCATAAAAAACAATCATCAGCGATCAACATAAAGTATAACCTTGGGTGATTAATGCATTCACCTGTCGGCCCCAGCATTTGCTTGTAATGTTGTCGCCTTGCCCCCTCGCCCGGTGGACCAATCCGCCCCCGGTTCGTTGTGACGTCACGAGCCAGCCTTTGCGAACAGACGACCGAGGCACTGGCTGGGGCCATTCCAACAGGTCCCGCAGCATTCAATGTCCATTCAATCAACGATATGCATCTCTCATCAGCGTATTGCCGTATACATTGTAGGTAGGTATGCGACACCGGCGCCAGCTCAGACATGAAGCTCTTCCTCCGCGGCTGATGCTAGCTCGTATCGACACTGGACCGAGCAGAGTTCGTGCCGGCAACCTCCGGACAATTTGTTCTTTCAGACACCCATTATCCAGGTTCCCGCTCACTTCCGGCTCACACCAGCCGCCGCCGTCTGGTGCGACAGCCTCCGAGGCAGGTTCCGTCTCACACTAGTCAGGTTCCGCCTCACACCAGCAACATTTCTCCTCAGACCAGTCAGGTTTCCTTCTCAGAGCAGCCAGGTCCCGACGCAACGTCCCGTTTCAGACCGGACTGGTCCCAGCCTAGACCAGTTGCTCCAGTTCACAGCTCAAAACAGCCACGTTCCGGCTCAGACAAGGTCCGTTCCAGAGTCCCGGGTGCCGGCTAAAGTATCCATCCGTCGCCGGCGGGTCCGTGGCGCGGCAGGTGGTTGCGCAGCTTGGTCTTTGAGGAGAGGCGCAGGCCGCAGACGGGACACTTTGTCTCGCCGCGGTGCCAGGAGAGGTGCTCGCTGATGCGCGGCTGGCTGCGCAGCCGCAGTCCGCAGCCGGCGATCGGGCACAGGAAGCCGACGTCCGAGACCGCCGTCCGCTGGTGGTCCCAGACCGGGTCTGCAAAAGACCAGCGCGCCACGGCATCACTCACCGAGTCAGGGCGGTTCGTCAATGCGTGGCTGAGTACCGCTCCACTGTGAGATTTTGGCATAAGTGTGTTTTATAATTTCTCAGGAGTGTTCATAAATGTCGTTCCGTCACTGAACTTCACGGATATAAAAAACGGAGTTTTTTGTTTTTTGTTTTTATTCGCTACAAAATTGGGCATGCCTCATAATAAGGTAAACAAATGTGATGGGCATGCAATACATCTACAAAGCAATGAGCGACGAGGGAGATGGCGAATCGTAAGCATTGCCCTGACTCTGGGAGCCAATTTACTTCAGCCAAATAATTACGAGCGAGCGAGCGCAGCGAGCGAAGCGAGTCTTTTCAATATAACGGAAAAATCTCAGTATGAGCGGCCCGGCCCGGCCCGGCCTGTAACGCTTTTGAGAGGCTTATATCTCAGCAACCGCTGGACCGATTGACCTGCAGTCTTTTTTGTTGGGTAGCCCCATCCCTTCTACCCCGTAATTGACTACTTTTGATACACCTCAGTGACCGTCGTGGCACGTGCCACGTGAAAAGTCAAGGGTGTTCAAGCTGTTTTGCAAAAGTAGTGATTTTGAGAGGCTCATATCTCAGCAGCCGCTTGGGCGATTGACTTGCGGTAATTTTTGTAGGGTAGCAGCATCCCTTCTACCAAAAATAGGATACTCTCGATGCATGTGGGTCACCCCAAGTGCACGTGCAAAATACAACAACAAGAGGTGTCAAATTTGTTCCCATTTTAATAACTCGGTAATTACTGGGGCGATTTCGCTGAAACTTGGCATACAGGTAGGCACCCACCAGGCAATGCATTCCCATGTGTTGCGGTTAGGGTGCTACTGCACGTGCGCACGTGCAGGGGGCGCTTCCAGATCTCGAGAACGGTTGGGCCGATTGCGCTCAAATTTGGTACACGGTTGGGGACCAGTTAGTAGGGTGCCGTGCAAAAGTCAGTTTGGACCCCGTTTGCACGTGCGCACGTGCAGAATGCCGCTTCCAGATCTCAGGAACGGCTGGGCCGATTGCGTTCAAATTTGGTACACCGCTAGCGACCGGTTAGAAGGGTGCTTTGCGCAAGCCCGTTGGAAGTACCCTCTCGCCCTTCCGCACGTGCAGGGCTCACTATCTCGCTCGCTCGTTCCTCGCCCAAAAGGCGTTTTACTGGTAGGTATAC